AGGATACAGATCTGGCAAAGCAGACCGAGAAGAATCAGCAGAGAGCAGAGTCCAGAAAACCAAGAGGGGAGAAAGAATCCAGAAGGAAATGGTGGTTAATGGTGTTGACCGCTACAGAGAGGTCATTCGACGTGGCAGTGAAGATCACTGACAGCTTTGGAGAGAGCAGCCCAGGATGACTAAGGAGGGCTGAGCCTCATAGTGGACTTAGAAGAGAAAAAGAGGAGAGAAAGTGAAAGCACTGGGTGTAGATGGCTTTTTTAAGAAGTTTGACTGAGAAAGGAAAGAGAGCTATAGGGTGCCAGCCAGTGAGGGTGGTGAGATCTAGTGGGGATTTTTTAAGGTTGGGGGAGAATGAGGCATGTCTGCAGTACATGATAAAGTACAAGTATGAGGTCCTCAGTTGAGAGGGTCAGAGGAGACAGTGCTGTTAGAGGCTTGGCTTGAGGAGAGAAGGGGACATCTGCAAGAGCCTCGGTGATCTGTGGGACAAAAAATCAGTTTGGGAGGAGTGAAGGAGTCAGAAGGCCCACCTGAGATCAGATTAGAAGAGGATAAATCACTTAGACAAAGTCCAATCCCTCTTTCACATGTCAGCTCTTCAAGCACTCAAAAACATTGATGGGGTCCCTCTCCCCTAAGTCTTCTCATCTCCAATCATTCTCTCATCTTTCAATGGAGATTCTCATGGCCTCACACAGTGCCTGACACATGATCAGGGTTTAATAAAAAGCTTATTGGTTGATGGTGGTATGTCCTCTTCTGGATAGGCTCCAGCTAGTGTGTAGGGCTTATGTTTTAATCACCTTCCATCTCCCCATCACTTAGCTCAGCCTTCTGCATAGCAGAGATGCTTTCTGTAGGGTTGCTGGATGAATCAGGACTAGATGACTCACAAGCACCATGGCTTGGGACAAATAAAAGAGAAAGAATAAACCATGAGCTGCCACCTTCTACCTCACCCCTACAAACCACCCTTCAACATCACCACCATTCATAGCAACTGTACAAACAGCACTTCATCCGTGAGGAGGGAACATAGTTCCCTTTGCTGTGGAATACTTGTTTTTTAAGACCCCAGTGCTCATCTCCCACAAGGAAATCAAAGCTTGCATCCAGCTAGAAGAAGGACACGGAGACTAACCACACCGCTCCTGAAAAGTGCACGAACTGAATCTCTAACCATCAGAAGAATTTGTACCTCCATTTGATGTCTCCATTTTTAGTCCTTTGAACGGAGATTTCTAGCAACAAAGCGCTCCTTGCGAAAACCCCAAGCACGTGGGGCTGAAATGATGGGTGACAATCTCCTAGGGATCTGCTGTCTTCTCTTAAGAACAACTGTAAATCATTAGTAGAAGATGGCTCTGTGGTATCCTCACCAATGGCTTAGCTTGCAGTCAGCAAAGCTGGCTTAAGAAAAAAATAATTAAAGATGTAAATGCCAGCACAGGGGCTTCATTCCATGGCTCAAGATTTTGAACTCATTTAATTTGGCCTTTCCCTATGGAACCATTTCTCGGATCATTGACTTTTTATTATTCTGCAAATGGTAGTAGACCCCTATCATCATCCGGGTATTGCCAGAGCAGCGTCTGGCTGTGGGATTTGAGCAGTTTATGTTTATTTGATTTTAATGATTCCCTGTTAATAAAGGTCATGCCTAAAAGTAATAGAAAACTAAATGTGTGGAAATGTAATAGATAAGACTGACTTGGGGGTGATTTCCAATCTTCATGGTGGTACACTTAGATATATATTTACTCTTTAAGAGTAATTAAGTAGCATTCCTACTTGTCATCAGTTTACTGTTCTCTACTCAGCGATGCATGTAAAACGTCATTCTGATACCTCTCCACAACCTGGTGTCCAATACAAATGCTAGGCTTTGGAACCATTAAATAGAAATTTTTTTAAAAGCACAGAACTCCCAGGCTGAGCACTCCCTACACATTTATTCAGGAGGAAAAGCTTTGGTTTTGGTTTTTTTTTTCTTTTGGAAACTTCTCAGAAGCAGAATTTTCATTGAATGTGAATATTGCCCTTTTCAATGGTTTTGAATTACCATAAATAATAAGTATATCTCCAAGGTGAAGTTGGTCTCTCATTCCACAAAGCCATCTGTCTTTTTATCTGAGTCACCCAAAACTGATCTGAACAACGCACCTAGGTAGAAATCTGGAGCAAGGATCACATATCTTTAAAAAAAAAAAAAAAAGACTCTTTTGGATTCCTACAAGTAACATATGAGATAATATAACTTTGAGCAGGAAATAAGTATAATCACATTCAACATAATACAGTGAATATTTAAGATTGTGTTCCATGGGAAGAAAGTGTATGAGGAGACCCATGGCAAGAAACTCTTTAAAAAACCCCAGGTGAACATCCTAACATCCCGTTACTTTCTTTTAACCCTTTCAGTCTCTTAAGGCCGTTGGACGAACTTATCTTTGTTTGATTTCAGACAAAGCTTTTATTATTGCTGATCACCGGTCTGGGATGGGAAGGGGTTTAGACAGGCTGGCTCCAAAGTGCCTTTGAAAATCTCAGATTCCGGGGCAGCTAGATAGCACAGTGGATAGACCACCAGTCCTGAAGTCAGGAGGACCTGAGTTCAAATCCGGCCTCAGACCAAACACTTTACACTTACTAGCTGTGTGACCCTGGGCAAATCACTTAACCCCAATTGCCGAAAGAAAGAAAGAAAGAAAGAAAGAAAGAAAGAAAGAAAGAAAGAAAGAAAGAAAGAAAGAAAATCTCAGATTCTAAGATGTCTATTATGTTCTGAACTGGAGAGATTCAACAGAAGATATTCCCCTAAGACTCTTAAAGAAGCAAATATTATCACTCAATCAACAAGCACTTATTAAGCACCTACTACATACAGCAGTGTCCAGCACTGTGCTAGGCATAGTAGGGAAATAAAGACAAAAAAGAAACATTTCTTGCTCCCTAGGAAGAGAGCATTCTATCATATAAAAAACATAAATTTACATACAAGCCGTCTCAAAACAGGAAACCCTGATTCACAGCTTAGAGAACTTCATTAAAGCCTAGTTCTGCTGGAAAACAAATAATCTGGATAAAATGCCATCTTCTGTGTACAGACCCATTGAGCTCTGAGGACTTGCACTGCCCAAAGTCTACAAGAGGAAATGTCTTGGGGAGACAAACAGTGCTCTGAAATATGGGTTGAAAGGCCTCTGAGCGTATAGTTTCCATCTTAAGAAAAAAAGCTGCAGGAGAGTACTGCTTTGCAAAGACTCACAGAAAGTACACTAAGGCCGCGAGCAGGCAAGGTGGTGAATATCTGTTAGAACTAGTGGCAAAAACAATATGGCAAAAAAACACAGGGAAAATACTGTCAGTCCTCCCAGAGAGTTTCTGTCTGTTTTCCCCTTCCTACCACACCTCTGCCAATCAATCAAATGTTTTCTGGCCAATCACACCCCCAAAGTGTGGCTTTCCCCCCACCATCAGGCAACCTCCTAGTTAGCAGTCTGGAAATTAATGGAGGCTGAGCCTCATTGCCTGTTTAATTGCATAGAATCTGTAGGCTTGAGAGCCCTTTTAAAAAGTAATGAACCAAAAACACAGAAGAAAAAAAAAAGAAACATGTTTTGAGAAATTTCAACAAAGAAGCCATTCCAAGACTTGAGTGTTTTCTCTTCAGGATGCAAAGTGTTTAACAATGATAATAACAATGGTGATAGGGAACATTTATACAGCATCTACTGTGTGCCAGGCACTACACGAAGTGCTTTACAATTATTGTCACATTTAATAATAAGTACTAATGATAGCTAAAACTTAGTACTTATCATGCGCCAGGCATTGGGCTAAGAGCCTTACAAATAGGGTCTCATCTGATCTTCACAACAACCCTGGGAGGTAGGCGCTGTTATTATCCCCATTTTACAGTTGAGGAAACTGAGGCAAACAAGGGCTAAGTAACTTGTCCAGGGTCCTACAGCTAGGAAGTCTCTGCCTGTGCCTGCCCTCCAACACCAGGGTTCCTTACTTAGCATTGGATAGAGGCTGAATCCCACGCGTGTCTCCCCTTCTTGGGGTTCACTTTCATTGGCCATCCCAGGTCCCACCTTGAATGGGACTTGTCAGTCTGTGGCTTCCCCACGGCACCAAGAGTCCATTTCAGAACACCTGTTCTCCAAGGGGAGCTGAGATGCTCGGGAGGATGTGGTCCCTTGCCTCGGGGTGGGGGTGGGGGGTCAGGAGAGGAAGGCTCGGGAGGGTAGCACGTGGGGGCCCTGATCCCCCCCTAGTCCCAAGGTAACTTGGTCGGCTTTGCTGACATTTGTGGGGCCACGATGGTGGGTATCACCAAGCCACAAAGGTAGTCCCTGGCAGCATCACAGGGCTGGGGAGGAAGACGTGGAGAGACACCTGCCCTCCCCAGGTGCAGACACTGTGACAGGGGCCAGGAAGGGCCACATCGGATTGGGGCCCGGGCCCCAAAGAGCAAGGTGGCAGTTTTCTGTTGGGGGGGCGGGACCCCAGGCCCCGGGGCTGGGGGTCTCTCACAGCGTCCCTGGGCTCTGCCCTCGGCGGCTGCGCACCTGCCCAGGTGCTGACCCCTGTGAGGGCTCCGCGGGGGTGGGGGGGAGGGACACTGGGCCCGGAGCTCCCTCAGGTCTCCGTGCCCTTCCCAGTTCCCCAGCCTCCGCCTCCCGGAGGGCGCCCGGCTCTGCCACCTCCTCCCTGGGGACCCGGGTCAAGTCACGTCCGCTTTAGGCCTCAGTTTCCCCATCAGTAGCACGAGGAGCTTGGCCTCACCTTGGCCCGCCCCCCGCCTGCACCCCGACGTCCAGCGGGCCTCCGCCGCCTCGGCCATCCCGGACCTGGATGGCCGCTCCTAACGGCCCCAGGAGGGGCCACACCCTGGCGCGGTGAGTTGTGGTCCACTGGCCCCCGTCAGGGCGCCCTCCAGCTTATCTCAGCTATCCCCTCCCCCGGCCCTCCGGGGCCTCCCTCCTTACTTTGAGAATCCATGTCCGGCTGCTCGGGGGACCGGGCCCGAGCCCTCTGCCCCCCGCCTCGGCCCTGTAGTCTCACGCCAGTCCCGGCTTCCCTGCCGCCCTCCCACCCGCCCCCAGCAGCCGGCAGCGTGGCTCGTCGCCTTGGCAACGCCAGGGGGCGGGGCAGGCAGGGGGCGGGGCAGGCAGGGGGCGGGGCAG